ACCACTACCCCGGTGTTTGGCGGCACCAATATGGACGAGATGTTTGTCACCACCGCTTATAAGAACGGCGGTCCCGACCAGAGGACAGCCCACCCCACCTGTGGACAGACACATAGGATTACCTCCGACTCCAAGGTGTTCGCCGGTAATGTCATGTATAGACCCAAACCCTAAGGCTGGACAGCACCGGGAGGCGTGTGTATGTGTTGACTGACATGACATATATTTTATATAACTTATAGTTTTATTGGAATAATAAAACGGTTTTCCAATTAATTGTACCGTTATTTGAATGAAATTTTTATTATTTTTTAATGTGTAATAAAAGTTAACAACAAAGTTTAACCCTAATCCGTTGAGCACCGTGATGTCGACGACAGGTATTGAGGTATTGTACGTTAATAAAAGTTTTTATTTGTTTGAGTAATACATTTGCAATATAATAGTGTTTTACTATTAGTTATAATGTTATATAAGTAGTAATAAAACAATCGAAAAAAATTTAGCTAATTATGAGCTGAGATGGTATGTGTGGGTGCTGTCGATGATAGGCTTTCCCATCCAAAGTAAACATAATAAAAAAGGGTTGTATTTGTCGTCCGATTGATAAACACATCACTATTTTAGGGGAGAAATTGAAAAATACATTTTCATTAATAAGTATTACATTTAAATCAATATTTGAATTAATAAAACAACAAAAGTTTTTGAAACTTTTTTGCGCAAATATTTCGTGAAAATCTCAAACATTTCAAATAGATTTCAAAATTTTCATTTTAATCTATGATTTATGACTGAAAAACATTTTTTCCTCTCATTTAAAGTGAATTAATTATTGCCTGAAAAAAGCGTTTAAATAGTTTTTTTTTCATGAATTTTAATTTCTCACCAAAAAGCGTATTATTAAATGAATTAATTTCTTTTAAATCACATATATTTCGCTACGAAAACCGGAGCCAACATATGATATCACATAAAATAAAAGTTTTGAAAATTATTTTTTTATGTTGTTTGCGACTGTGAAGTAGTTTTTCGTATTTCATATTAAATTTTAAAACTCGTAGATTAGTATCAAAAATAAAATTATATTGAATAAGAAAAAAGTTTTGCAAAACTATTTTATATACAATTTATTGAAAGTGTGTGCGAATAGTGTATTGAAAATACTGTGTATTTTAAATGCTATAGAAATATATTGTGTTTATAATAAACAAAACACAAAATTCTGTGTTATTTTTGTGAATAAAATTATTTTTGTTTCACAATTATAAAAATCTTGGATAACAAAAAAATACTCATTAATATTTAGTGTCGTATAAATTCATAATGAATTTCTCATACATTATATCGACGCTAATCTCATGGCATGTGTTAAGCATATCTTGCGGTAAGTAATGCATTAATACATTGAAAATACTTTTCACAAAACAATTTATTAATACATTTTAAATATTAAAATTCATTTCAAAAGCTAATAACACAAGCAATGATGAGTTCCCTGCAAATAATTCAACACTAGTTTCCACACTAAACCCACTGATAGACGATAATAGCACTGAACACTCACATCCCGGTGCTGTTCGCGATGACATACACTCCACCAAACCGACCATAACTACACTCATAAGCAATGAGTTCCCGATATTAAGCCCGACTCCCAGTCCTCGCAACGTAACGCTATTACTCGAGTCACATACCCGTCCCACACCGCGTCCCCGACCCACACCACTGCCAGCACTTAGTACATCCACAGCCTTAGTGGACAGGCGTACGAAAAACACCACAACAACAACTACCACTACTACTACCACCACCACCACCACTACCACCACTCCTACTAGTACTTCAAATACAAACACAACGCTGCCTGAGCTCCCGGAGCTGACCGGCAAGCGTAAGGCCTACCCGAATCGGGTGCGCCGGGTGGACGTGGAGGTGCACCAGACAAATATGCTGGAGGATGAGGTGGTAAAGGCCCGGCAGGTGCTCAACCATACTCTGAGCCACGATTACGGCAGTCGTAAGACCGCCAGAGTGTTGAAGGCAGAGCTGGATGAGGCGTTTAAGGACCAGAAATACCGGTTCTCAGTGATCATCGGCCAAAATGTCACTCAGTTGCTGTGTAAGCGCCTGTACGGCATCTGGATGTCTATATCGGCCAATAATAAGCACTACCTATTGGTCGCCAGTTTTAAGGCAAATAAGGCTAAGAAGTTGTCGGAGGGACAGATGGACCGCATCGAGGACTGGACGTCAGTGTATTTTATTACCTATGAGAATGTGACCACAAAGCACCGGTATGTCTGTGTTTGTACTTTGTTTGTGTTAATTTAGTTATGGTTTATTGTATTTATTTTTATGCTAATTAGTGATAATCATGTATTTTGTGGGATTTATAGTTAGAGTATTAATATATTAGTACTAGACTATTAGTACTTATATAATACAGTATAGACATGTTAATCCAATTATAAAACTGGTTTATAATTTATAACTTATTTTAAAATTAATTAAATAATTTTGTAAATTTTGTCTTTTATAGATTTCTATAATTTTCTAACAGCATATTTGAGTAATGAGCTTTTAACCAGGTTATTTATTAATAATCATAATTAATAATTGAGAAAACTAGTTTAAAAGTTCATTTTAGAGTTTTATTTATGAAAATCATACGTTAATAAAAAATGAGCAAAATTACGGAAATTCACAATATATGATATTAGAATGAGATTGATAAAAAACATTTAAAATAAACGGGGTTGTTTCAGAAACCAATATACTTATTAATAATTATTAAATAAATAACTTATAAACTGGGAAAATACAAATGTACAGTTTGTATCCACCACACATACCATTATATGGAAACACACGTGATCATCCATTCAAATATAAGAATACTATGGAAAAGTAAACTAAGTACAGGGTGTATGAGTAAAAAATCAATTTTTGAAATTTAAAAATTTTATTTTCAATACAAATTTAATTAATCAAATATAAAATTGAAATTAATAACTGATTTTGAGTTATATGGAAAAGTAAACTAAGTACAGGGTGTATGAGTAAAAAATCAATTTTTGAAATTTAAAAATTTTATTTTCAATACAAATTTAATTAATCAAATATAAAATTGAAATTAATAACTGATTTTGAGTTCGTTTGTGTTGACCAGCACTCAAATAGCATTACTCACATAACACAACTTTTCCCCACTTCCAAATCACACTCAATTAAAATTAATGTTTAATAAATGCATAATAATTGGGAAAATACAATTTGTTAATCATTTAAAATTTAATAAATCTACTTAATTATCCACTAAATTACCTTAATTGTTTACTAAATTAACTTAATTACGCACAAAATTAGGTTAATTGTGAATTATATCAACTTAATTGAGCATTATGTTAACTAAATAATGTACTGATTTAGCTTAATTTTGTACTAAATTAACTAAATAATGCACTAATTTAGCTTAATTTTGAACTAAATTAACTTAATTGTGCACTGAATTAACTAAATAATGTACTGATTTAGCTTAATTGTGTACTAAATTATTAATAAATTAACTTAATTCTGTACTATTACCAATGTCACTTCAAAACTTGGTGTGAAAATCAATTAACAAATCATAAATTAATTCACATAAATATCAAACAATTATAAAAATAAATGTACTAAATTATTAATAAATTAACTTAATTCTGTACTATTACCAATGTCACTTCAAAACTTGGTGTGAAAATCAACTAACAAATCATAAATTAATTCACATAAATATCAAACAATTATAAAAATAAAATGCAATTCAAATGATTTGAATTCATTTAAAATAAAATAAAATTGTTTTGAATATTTTGGTTGAAATATTTCAGTGAAATAATCACCTTATCACACTCAGTACTTAGCTTATCAGTGATAAGCCTGGATATCCAGGTTTTCATTTTCATGGTTTGTCACGTGTGTTTCCATATAATGGTATGTGTGGTATCCACTTTATAACATGTTAATTAATCGCACACAGAAATGACAAAGTGGCCAAAATGCTCAAGGAGAAACTGGACCTCAACTACGGCAAGGGGAACAACACGTGGGCAGTGGTGGCCTATAAGCA